GGACTAACCATGAGTACAGAGTCAACTAACTGTTGCACTCCACCTCTGGATAAGAGATCAGCACTGCTTCACTCCTCTGGTTGGGGAGGTGGACTCCCAGCTGCAAGATTCTGCCTACGGGGTGCTTCATGAGGAAGCTCCTTGGAAGTCCTGCTTCTCTCTAGGTCCTGAACAGCATGTGGGTGACCAGGGATTGACCACAATGATTGTGATACGGATCAGAAGGATGGAAAAGGTAACTACAACAAGTGATTGTCTCTTCCTCAGTTTTCCTGTCTTTTGTTGCCCTTTTATCTGCAGAGCATGGTCTAATAAACAGAGAAGGCTCAGGAGGGTCAGAAACACGGTGTTTGCTGAGTCAGCCTCGTTTCTCAGCCTGCTTGCCAAGAATTCCCAAAAAGGAAGCGTTGGAGGATCATTCCCAGACTTGAGGCAATCAGATCTTTCCAGAACTTGAATTAGGTGGCTTGGGAGATAAGACACTGAAACAAAAAGAGCCCAGTCTAGGAATCAGAAACCATTCTTTCTGGTTCAAGCCCTAGTGTATTGACCAGTGAATGACCTGCGGCAAGATATTTAACTTCTCTGGGATATAGCTTCCTCCTCTGTTTCCAAAATCTAGCACTCAAGATCATTACACATTTTTATTTATCAGGCACTCAACATATATACTCAATGTCTATGTGTAGCAAATACAATTTCCCAAGTAGAAATAAAGAATACTGTTTTTCAAAAGTTCTGGGGCTTATGAATATTTTTGTATACTGCACATTATCTGCAACCATTCCTACATTTAACTATGTCTGTGGAGAGTGACTTCTTTCTAAAGGGACAGAGGTACTAAATGGTGATATTCTGTAGCTAATGTGGAAAAATTTATCACAGCACTATGTGATTTGTTCCAGGGACTACCTTTCCCAAAACAGAGAAGCCAGTAGCCTAGATGTCTGATCTAGAGAGGACAGAGATTAGCTCCTTTATTCATTAGCTGGTACATTTTATTGTACAATTGGATTTTGAATTAAAATAACATTGGAATTAAAGTAATATTGATTAATTTAATTTATACTAATGTGTAGATGACTGATACCTACACCCTATCCTTAGGATATGTTTTAAGTGATGATGATAAAAAAAAGCAAAACAGGAAAAGTGGTGGGAACTCCTAGGGTGGTGGCAAGGTTATAGGAAGAGGGTTAAGGACATGGCAAGGAGAAAATGAATTTTCCAAGGATAGACTTCTTTTTTACTTCCTGCTTTTTTCCTAAGGTCACTTAGAAACCAGCAGTATGGGATCCAATTTCAGAAAATGTCACAGTCTCCTTGCTTTATGACCCAGGCTAATTTTCAAGACCAGAGCACTACTTCCTCAAAAATCAGATAAAGCTGCCAAAGTCAGGCTCTTGAGGGATTTTATGAAACTAACGTTCTTTTCTCCTTTTACATCATACATTTTTTTGGTGACTCTAAAACACACCTTAATAGTAGAACATTTAGATACCACAGCAAAGCATAAAGGAAACAAAACCCATCCTCAGTTCCACTATCTTTAATATCATAGTGCGTTATATTTTAAAGGCAAAAGGGAGTCTTCAGGACTGCGTCGTGGCAGTTTAAAGCAAGGAGGTAGCAAAGCCACCACAAAAAAAAAGCAGAGGCAGGGCCTGGACATGTTATGTCAGCAGAACTTGGGACCAACTTTTTTTTTTTTTTTTTGGAGGGGGAATAAAACTACATTGTGTACTCTCAATGAGATGTGTGTGTCTATATGATGGAGGGGGCTTGGCATGTTTGGTTTCCACTTTTTCCATCTTATATTCTTAGTAACTAGGTTACCTGAAGAGTCCATTTGCCACATTTAAATCAGAACTGATTTTTAAACTAGTTGACGACTGTGCAGGTAACACAGATAAGAGAAATTCTGTGCATATATGTGGCGCTGTTTGAGTGTGTGTGTGTGATTGTGTGCGTATGTGTGTGTGCACGATTGTGTGCATATGTGTGTGTGCACGTTCTTGTACCTGCCTAGAGGTCAAGTAACCAAATTTGGAATGGGGTGGGTTGAGAAAAGCTTCTCTGTTTGCATGCCTGTTCTCATCACTATGACTTGCAAATGAAGCCTTTCTTCACGAAGTCAGTCAGGTTGTGGGCGAGAGATTCAGAAGACTGAAGAGAGTTTTTTTGCTCTGCCTGCTCAGCCCCAGAGAAATCGGAGGACCCTTGGTTGTGCCCACAGCGGGAAAAGCCCGGGCTCCAGGTGAGGCCTCGCTTTCCCCGGGTGGTTTGAAGAAGGGGCCGATGGCGATCATAAATATCATTTGCTGACACGGAGTCCTGGGGCTGCGCTGACCACAGGAGTCGCGGTCCCCGGGATGCAGGAACTGCTCACAAAGCAGGCATTTATGAACTGGTTGGCTTTGCATTAATTAATTCCCCATTCACCAACAGTAACAATCCCTTCAATGAGTGTCCAGGCCCCGGAAAGCCCTGGTGTTGATTGGAAGTGACAAGTGCATCGCAAAGTGTGACTATGTTAATATGGAACAGTGCAAAGGGACTCGGAGCCCCTCTCCTGCCCCACGCCTTCCTTCCCGTGTCATTTCTGAGGAAGAAAGAGAACTTGGCTTCTTAAGGAGTGTTTAATTTGGTTTTTCCTCTTTGGTGGTTCGCTTGTCAGCTGCTGTTTTCTCGTCTGCTGCTTCTCGGGGATGGGTTCGTTCTGATGCAGTGAGTTCTGTCATGAGTCCATGGAGTGTCGCAAGGACCTCGAAGGACCAAGAGCCCTGACAGGTCACAAGAGGCTGATAAGCCAGGGCTGATACACACACACACACACACACACACACACACACACACACACACACACAGAGGGATATGGACTCTCTGGGGAGGCTGGGCAAAGCCTGGCAAATTCTCTCATTGTTAAGAATTTGGGAACCAACAAGAGACTTGGAGTTCCACAGGTCTTAGTAAAAGCTGAAATGGCAGGGAAATTGTAGAAATGAGAGCTGATTGTCAATTCCTGAAGGCCAGGAAAACATCTCTTCTTTAACAAGCAGCTCTGTGCCATGCGCTTGCAGGCTCTAAATAAATGTTTGCTGGCCGGCTAACTGGCAGTGGGTTAGACACTTGCCCCTGCGATCCTCCAGCTTGTTTAACTGCCCAGTTATTTGGCCTCTTTCTTTCCAGTTCTCTTACTCACTAGCTTGCCAGTTTCTGTGTCTGTTGCTGGTTCTAGGGACGCATGCACTTATCAGGCTGGGCCATTTTAGGTTTTGCTACTTATTTACACATTGGCCAAATCTTTCTTAGTTGATACTGTCATTTATTACTTTTGAAGATTTTCCGGTTTGTTTCTTTCTGTGTTTTTGCTTGTACTTTTAGGAAGCAGATTTAAAAGACTTCATTCATCTTTTTCTAGGTATACACTGTGCTAGATGACATCAAAATGATTAAGAAAGATCTCCCCCTTACCACTAGAAAGGAGGATTAAACATAAGCACATTCACAAATAACTGTAAGGCAGGATTAAAACAGGCCAGCACTGAAAGAGACGTATAAATAAGGGTGATGGGGCTTCCAAGGAAAGCACATCACAGCTGCCGGATCAGTCAGCAAGGGTTTCCTTGGGCATCTGCAATGAGTCAGGAAAAATGGTCAGGGTTTTGTCATGTAAAGGGGCATTCTTATCAAAGGGAATGGGAAGCATCTGAGGGTGTGCGTTCTGGGAAGTGTGAGGAGTACACTTTGGCGAAAAACATAGATTTGGGCTGGAGAAGTGGGAGAGATGAGGATAGAGGACTTTGTCGGCAAGGGTGAGATGTCTGCAGTAATTTTTGCAGACATGCAAACCAGTTGGGAGATGTTTATGTGGGGAAGCGTGGCTGGGACTAGGGTGAGTCACATGAGGATCCTAGGGCACAAAACTTAAGGAGACTCGCTCTCAGGTGCCACCTCTGCCTTTGCAGGATCCTGAGTCAGGTCTTCTTACTGCGCTCCCAGCTTGGTCTGGGAGTGGGGAGACCAGTGAGCAGCTGTTTTGCATATTCACAAGATTGCAGTGAAAGCTCTCTTAAGAGGGATTGGAGACCGTGGGCGCTGCATGAGACTGTGCAGATAGAGTTAATACAGACAGAAAAGATGTGCAACCTGGACAGTGGGAATGGTGTCCTCCTTTAAAAGATTCAACACAGACCAGGGGACAATTCCACGTGCTTCTCACATGTTAATTAATTTCCTGATGAAAGATAAAGCTTCTAGCCAGGAGTCCAGAGAGCTGAGTTCTAGTCTAGCTCTGCTCTAAGGAGTCCTGCGAGCCCCTGTGGCCTCAGCTCTTTGACCTGGGAAATGACTGAGTCACATGAGAACATTTCATAGGTCCATGAGAGCTCTAGAATCTCCCATCACTCATGATGTATGTTAATATCAGCTGACCTCGAAAGAGAACCCAAGCTTTGGGGACCCCAATCTTGGATCTACAAGATCTCTCAGACCAGAAGCCCTGGGGGGTAAATCCCTCAATCCAGAATCTTGTCCTTCATTGATTCACTGTAAACTACTTCTCAGATTTCTAGGTTTCGGGTCCCCCTTAAAGACTGACATTCCAGTCAGTCTGATGTTAAATTCTGCTTTCCCCTTTCCACCTTGTGTTACCTACCCCCACAGCCTGGCCCACATTTTTCTACCCCTCCCTCCTTCTCTCCTGTCATTAACAAAACTCCCCAGACCCTTGCAAAGGCCCTAAAGCAGAATTATCCCAAGAGAGAAACAGTGGATTTAATAAGCTTCCCCTTAGAAGGCCCCAAATCCCTTCCAGTTGATTAGGGGAAAAACAACTACACACAGGACAGTTTCCTGATGCAGGAGGTGAGAGAGAGAAAGAATAAAGAAAGTTCCTGAAGTCCTGGGCCTCAGGGACCAAATTAAGAAAGCAGCACCACTTATTCAAAATCAGATGAATGTCAGTGGGATGTTTGTCAAACAAACTTGTCATTATTTGTCACAATTTGAGGAAGTATCAGTCAATAGTCACACTCGAGCGCATAACAGAGTTATTTATAGCTGCCAGTCTAGAGTTTTAACTCATGCGGGGCCAAGGTTCGATGTTATAAACAGCTTTATTTATAATGATTGCATGGCTATAAATAGTTTGGTTCCCTGGGTGTCACAGAACAACCCGGGACGTGCTGCCAAAACCAGCGCCAGGAAGCGGGCTGCAGCAGGGAGGTGAATCCTGGTGGTGTTTTTTTGCTTCTCCGAGGACCCTGTCTGTGAGTCCTTGGCCAGGGTATTTCATCTTCTTCCTCAGTGTCCCTTTTGGAACCGGGAGTCGGGCTCCATGGTGTTCCTGGGAGATGGTGGAAGTTACTCAATTAATTAACATCTGCCCCGCGATCTGCTGTTGAAAGGGAGCCAGTATGGGGAGCACCGCCTCTTTTGTGCCTATTCACGGACAATGAGCTAATTACAGTCTCTCTCCTGCTGGAGGGTGGAGGGAGATATCCTGTTATTCCAGTGAACAGGCAAAGCTCTAAAGGTTTGTTTATAGCTTCAGATTTAATTTGAACGACAGCAGCGTCTCCTCTAAAAATAAAAGGTTGTCAGAAATTTAGAAATTTACTACTTTCTTGTGTCAGCAGAACCTTATCTAAGGAGTGGGAGGTTGGGGGATTTGGGGGGAGCCGAAGAGAGGAAGGGGAATATGTATACATAAATTTTACATGTAAAATACATAGGTATGTCAGCTTAAAAACTGATCATTTTACCGTTTGGCACAGGGGCAGTATTCTTAACTTCCTCCCGACAACCTCCAACCCCACCTTCCAAAAATGCAAATCTATTTGTCATATGAAAATTTCTTGATCAGTAACTATTTCCATCTCACCCTCAAACTCCTTAGTCAATTTTAATACTGTTAAGCTAAATCTTCTTTTTCTTTCTTTCTTTCTTTTTTTTTTTTTTAAGAAAAGGTGTGGCCATAAAAAAAAATTTTACTGGATCTTAATTTGCAAGATTAGTTCTGGTTCATTTTATTGCTGTAATTTAATACTCATAATGATTTTCTGACACATATGTTTTAGCAGCAAGATCTACTTCCTATTCATTTTTCATTTCGATGCAGCTGACGTATATTAGGCAGGATGGTACAGATCTGAGGGAGCAGCACCCTGTGAGAAACTGACATCATTCTGCCCGTCTTGGCATCCTCCCAGACATGTGTTGAGCCCCAAGAAGCCTGCACTTAGGTACATCCAGGGATTCAGGATCAAAGGTGATAAGCAAGAAATCCTTCTTTAAAAAGGAGTTAAAGTTTTTTTTTTCATTTATAGGATTATCAACATCATTACCATTATTATCATTACTGCAACTCTGGCTAAGGGAGTTGTGAGTTGCATCCTATTTGAACGTCTCCCACTGGATTGGAAGAAAGCAATGAGGGCCTCCTAAGTAAGCTAACAATCACGCTGCAGTGGAGGTGAATCATGGGCTCCGAGACCCAATGCCACAGGACTCTGACCTGGGTGCGGGGGAGGGCATCCCGGAGAAGGTGGCCTCCACATTGAATCCTACAGGTGGTTCCTTCGGGTGGTGATTGTGCCTTTTTGTTTCTGTACAGACACCTGCTGGCATAGTAGGGATATGGTAAATCTTTGTAGAGAGAGTTAATGAAGGTGTATTTTTCTTGGAATTTGACAGTCCCTCTGGAACACTATGTCATACATTAGCAATACATAAAAAAACCCCATGAATTTAAATGGTTAAAAATGAAAAATAAGAGAGAGGAGAGAGAGATTTGTGGAGTGTGTGCACTGGAGCAGAATGAGGACCCCCATCTGACTGGGGCTCTGGAATTCCTAAACAAAATGATCAACTCCCTATTGGGAGTCGGCCCTTACGTGGCAAGAATATGCAAGGCCAAGGTGTAGGAAATGAAATGGAGCAATGAGCATGTTGAAGTGAATTGGTCTGAGTGGCCTGAAAGGCATCGTCAGCATTTCCTCTCTGTTTATTTTTACATGAGTCTCTACCCATACGTGAGGCTAAGACTTCATCCGTCATGGGTTCCAATTCTGTGCTCAGGAAGGAGGTGGCATTAAGCTAAAAGGAAGAGGATAAGTACAAGGAGACGGATATTATATCAAGTTTCTCCCTTAGTCTTTCAGTTCTTCTCAAATACTTTTTCTTTTGGTTATACTTAGTTTCATGATTATTTCTACTATTTTTAAAAGAGAGATTCTCAATGTGTATTTTAAAACAAAAAGGACAGATGTTTTTCCACATTGCTATTGGGTGAAGGGGGAATTTTAATATTCACATTATCAAGCATGTAATTTCAGAGAAGATTCTTAGAATTGGAAATGTGCTTGCCCAGTCACTAATAGCTCCCATCTCAGAGATACTATGACCATATATCCTGTACCTAAATGTTCCCATTTAAAGGAAAAGGAACAGAACAATAAATCTGGCAGCATAACATGTAAATCTGATGATGCCTTATGCTTAATATTTTTGTTTATTTCTGTTTCTAAGAATTTTCCTCAGTGCCGAGTACCAGCTGAGGAGGATGTGGTATAAATGTATTAAGCAGCTTTAGGGTCTCTGGCCACTAATTCTTAGGATTGTAGAGTTTTAGAGCCTCAGGAAACAATAAGAATTTTCTACTTTAGTTCTCTCTTTTTTACAGATATGGAAGCTGAGCCATTTGACTTCTAAGAGATAGAGTTGGGATGGCACAAATGTCTCTTGGCTTCTAGAAAAGATAACTAATATTTGTTGGACACAAATAGTTGTGCGCTTTACAAAGGTGCAGTGTGGTGGTGAAGGATGAGGGCTCTGGGGTCAGACAAGCCTAGGTTTGTATGTTGGCTCTGTCACTATTTGTGAGGCAGTGAAATGTTACTTCTTTTCTTTAAGCCTCAGTTTTCTTCATCCATAAAATGGGAACATTAATGACACAACAACAGAGGTGTTGGGACGACTGAATGAGATAAAGCAGGTCAAGTGCTTTGTGATGGTTCCTGACACATGGGACATCTTTAACATGTGACAGAAACCTCAGTGAAAACAAAACCAAAAAGCAAAACAACCACCCCACAGCTAGGCTTTTTGTTCTTTCGGCCTGGTAGGATCTGTACAGAGATGTTACTGGTGAAGCTTCTTTCTTCTTCACATCCTTTTGTGTATGCTTATTTCCATGGGGGCTGGAGAAGCCCTCTGAGAGAGAAATACATGAGTCCCGTGCACCATTAGGCTTTGGGCACAGTGACAGATCTGATGGATGGGTGGGTAGGGATGGGGAACAGGGAGGGGAGATCCTGGTGAGTCATCACCATGAGCAAGAGGGGTATCATATGCTTAGCTGGCCCAGAGGGGGAGGGTCTGGGCAGTGGACCCCACTTTGTAGCCCAGACTGTACCTGCTAGGGGTGCAGCTTTGCTCTGGGCATTGCTTTGATCAGCAATTGGAACTCAGGTGGTTGAGAGCTCCGTGAAAGGCACTGCTATACTGTCTGGCCCTGAGGACTGAGATGGTTGGGATCCCACCCCTGGGATGAGAACACGGGCAGCAGGGGCACAGGTCGGCGGCTTTGAGGACCTGAAACTTATTGGAGAGAGTTATTTATTTCTGTAAATACCTGGATCTCTTGCAAGTCAAGCAAGTGGGGACTTAGACCACTAGAATTTGGAACGGTTGTCTTAATCACAGAAGCCATGTGATTTCACTCATATCCTGGAAAATACTATTTGCACATAAAATTATCCCATTTAATCCCTCAGTAGCCTTGCAAAGTTTTTATGGTATTTTGCAGATCAGGAAAATGGAAGCTCAGAGAGATGTAAATCACACTTAAGGTCACAGATATCAAAATAAAGCCTAGAATGAAAACAAATATCGTTGGTTTTATAGTCTACATCCTGTCCTTGTCCATTGACCCAGCTGAATTTTACTTTTAATGCGTTTTCCTTCCACCTTCTACCCTCTTTGGTTTGTGAATGGAGAGTTAGCTGTGACTTCCTGTGGCTGAGGGAAGCAGCAGCCTGTCTGGTTACCTGAGCCAGGTCTGGGGCCAGGCAGCATGCATTCTAGTCCTGCCTGGGACACTCACTGGTCTCAAGGCCTTGAGCAAAGCAGCTGACTGCTTTGCACCCCAGTTTCCTCATCTGTAAGATAAGATGTATTAGGGTTCTCCAGAGACACAGAACCAATAGGGTGTGGGTATGGGTCGGGTGGAGAGAGAGAATGAGAGAGAGAGAAAAAAAAGATGAAGAAAAAGAAAAAGAAGAAGAAGGAGAAGAGGAGGAGGAGGAAGAAGAAGGAGGAGGAGGGAAGAAGAAGGAAAGAGGAAGAGGAAGAGTTAGAAGAAGAAGAAAAGAAGAAGAAGGAAAGAGGAAGAGGAGGAAGAAGAAGAAGAGGAGGAAGAAGGAAAGAAGAAGAAGGAAAGGAAGAGGAAGAGGAAGAAGAAGGAGGAGGAGGAGGAGAGGGAGGAGAAGGAGGAGAAGAAGAATTATTTTAAGAAATTGGCTCAAGCAACTGTGGAGACTAGCAAGTCCAAAACGTTCAGGGCAGGCTGGACGCCCAGGGAGGAGCTGATGGTGTTCCAGTGGGAAGGTATTCTGAGCAGAATTCTCTCTTCCCCAGGGGACCTCAGTCATTTCTCTTAAGACCTTCCACTGAATGGATGAGGCCCGCCCACATTATTCAGGGTAACCTGCTTTGCTCAAAGACTACTGATGTAAGTGTTAATCTCATCTAAAAATTACCTGCACAGCAATAACTATGCTGGTGTTTGACCAAATATCTGGGTCCCATTAACCATTACATGGGGCTAATGAGATGTACTACATAAGGTTGATATGTGGGTTAAGTGAACTGATATAGGTGAAGAGTTTAGAACTGTGCCAGGTACAGATAAATTCTTGATAAGTGTTATCCATCATTCCTTCCAAAAGGAATCATTCATTCCCAGGGCAGACTCTGTCTCTGTGGCTTGGACATGCCATGTTGGCCACTGGGTCAATGCACCTGAAGTCAGCAGGCTTTGTTTCTCTTCCATTCACTTCTTGTGGCTGCCAAGAGTCTCTGTGCCTTGAGTGTGGCAGCCTGTGTCCGGGAGGAGAGTGAGCTTTCCTGGTGCCCACATCAATGAGGGCACTCGGTGCTGCCTCTCAGTAAAGGCCCAACAGGAGAAATGCTGCAAGGAAAGGTCTGGGGATGGAATTCTCCTGAGAGGATCTCTGTTGTTGCTTATACCCATGGCAAGGAGCAAACACAGTGCTCTTTCATCTTCCTTGGCAGGGTGTGCTGCTGCTGCCAGCCCATCTGCCCCGCCCCGGGATCACCCCCATCTCCCAGGCTCAAGTGGATGGCCCTTCAGCAAATGCCTTTCTTGGAAAAAAATGAAAACTCTGCACCTCTTGCCGCCCACCTCCTTTTCCATTCAAAACTCTGCTCTATCTCCTTTGCCCTGCCGCACCTTTGGTGGCCCTTTCCTACCTGACAAAGGGAGATACCTTTGAGAGTCAGCCCTGCATTGCGAGCTGAGCAAATGTTCTTTTTGGAAACGGGAGTGTTCTTTTGGCTTTGGTTGATGAAAGCGGGTGGATTAAAAACTAGGATAAATGCAAAATATCCTGGAGGACAATGGGGAAGGAAAGCTGCGGGAAGGAGACATGGAAAGGAGGGTGGAATGGGAGATGGGAAGGGGCCGGCAGGACCAGGGAAAGGGTAAACCACGCTTTCATCTTGGAGTCTGATCTGTTTCTGAACTCTGATGGGTAAGGCCATGAATTTTAAAAGGTGTCTCTGCAGTGTCTCTGCAACTGACAGCTCCAGTCACAGAACCAGCCATCTCTGAAGCTCAAGAGTGCCGCAGGAGGCTGAGCCCAGGGAGTCTGAAGACCAGAAGGCTTGGAGAGCCCAGCAGGCCCTTGTCAGGAAGCAGGATCCCTCGCAGCTCCAAAGCACCGGCCTGGGCAGGCTTCTGGCTGCACCTGCAAGTGGCTGAGGCCAAGTATCCCCTGGCAGCTCCTGGAGGTGTCCACGGGTCTGGTATCAGCAGATAACTTTCTGAGCAGGTCTCAAGGCACTGCTGGGTGTGCTTGTCAATGGCAAAGTCACACAGACACCTGCTGCAGTCCCTGTTCACCTGTGCTGACTGCTGAGAGGACAGCAGGTCTCCCAGGGACTGGCGCTTTTCTCACCAGGGCTTTGAGGAAGGTCCTCTTCTAGAAAGGGCAGGGGGACCCTGCTTTGAGAGCTGCTCCCAGAGGGGATGCCAGGTAGTTCCAAAGGTCCTGGAGGAGGCTCAGAGTCTGCAGGTCACCCAGCAGAGGGAGGGATGTGAAGGTGGCCTGCTGACTGCTCTGGGCTGGAAACGTGGCAGTGACTATTGTCCTTGGAGCCCTGGGAGAAATGCCAGTGCATCTTACGTTATGAGAAATGCATGCTCCTGAGAAATGGAGTGGGGACATTTAAAAAATATGTATTGTTATATCTTTATCAATGTGTCTGATTTTTTTTTTTTTTTTTTTGAAACCCTGGAGTATTGGAATCATGACTTCTCTGTGAATTGAGCATTAGGAATATTGAGTTTTCTAAAAGCAGGGATATTGGTAAGGGAAGCAAATGGACACCTCTGGAACTATAAAGTAGCCCAGAGCAGGACCCTGACAGCCACCAATGACACAGCTCCTTAGCTCGCTGGCTGAGCCAGGAAAGCAGAGGTAGTGGCCCTGGGCAGAGGGATGCCATGCACAGCCAATCCTGTGGAGACACTGGGGGGCATCTGGGAGCCCCACAAGAGCCCACCCCTCCTCAGCTCTGTCTCCTGCCTGGTTACATCCTCAGAACTGTGAGGTACCCCTCCAGCAGCTGGAGGCCTGTGGAGGGGACTCGCTGTGTCTAATATTTGGGACTCCTGAGCCCCTATTACGAGGGAGACTCTTTTTAGAGGGTGTGCGGGACAAAACAGCTTCTCCCTC